TAGAGTCACTCTGGCAGTTGGCTTATGGTGCAGTCTTTCTGTTTTCAAGCTAGACAGGCCCAGAGCAGTTATGCTCCACTGTGACTGCATGTGAGGATCACTTGGGGACCTTATAAAGATACCTGTGCCTGTTCCCCCTGGATCAATTGAAAGCCAGGTCTAGGGCCCAGAATCTGAAAAAGGCTAATACCAGAATTCCAGAAGCAAGTGCCTTGAAGAGGCCTGAAGTAAGACAAGGACAGGTGGGAAATGTGCAATTGCAGTTTACCTTTTCTAAGAGACTATCTCCCCAGATTGGAGAAGTTTTCAGCAACTACCTCCTCAAAGACACTTTCTATCCCTTTCTGCTTCTCTTCTTCTTCTGGTATCCCTATAATGCAAATATTGTTCCGCTTGGATTGGTCACACAGTTCTCTCAATATTCTTTCATTCTTAGAGATCCTTTTTTCTCTCTGTGCCTCAGCTTCTTTGTGTTCCTCTTCTCTAGTTTCTATTTCATTTATTGTCTCCTCCACCATATCCAACCTGCTTTTAATACCCTCCATTGTGCTCTTCAACAATTGGATCTCCGACCTGAATTCACTCCTGAGTTCTTGGATGCCTTTCTGTACCTCCATTAGCATGTTGATGATTTTTATTTTGAACTCCCTTTCAGGAAGAGTTATGAGGTCCATATCATTTAAATCTTTCTCGGGAGTTGTATTAACAATTTTACTCTGGACGAGGTTCCTTTGGCTTTTCATATTTGTATATCGCGCCCTCTAGTGTCCAGAAGCTCTATTCTGGAGCTGCTCAGCCCCTGAAGCAATGTCGGGGGTTGCAGGGGAGCAGTACTGGTGCCTGGGGGGAGGAAAGAGCTGTTTCCCACCTCCCGGCTGCTGTGCCTGTCTCCAGTGGGCTGAGCACACAGGTATAAGCTTTTGTCCCAGAGCAGCTGGATATGGATCCCTGCTTTCCACCAGGGGCCGGAATCCCAGTCTCACCAGGAACTCTGCCTGTATTAACTTTCCAACCCAGTAGTCATGCGAGTCTCATGAAAACACCATGAAATGTAGGTTTGTGCTCCCAGAGCAGATCTCTGGAGCTAGGTATTCAGCAGCCCCAGGCCTTCCACTCCCTACCTGCTCCGTTTGTCTTCCTCCCGCTGGTGAGCTGGGGTGGGGGAGGGGCTCGGGTCCCGGGAGCCACAGCTCTGGTACGTTACCCTGTTAGCTGAGGTCTGCTCTTTTCTCCAGGTGTGTGCAGTCTGAGCCATCCTCTTTCCTGTTGCTCTCTCAGAATTAGTTGTGCCAACTATATGTTCTAATTGTATCCAGTTTTAGGAGGAAGCCTCTGTCTCTCCTCTCCTGCTGGCATCTTTGATCCTTCACAGTTTACCTTTTCTAAAGACATTCATGTTTACTTTTCTTTAACACTGTGTGGCAAAAGAATCCTGTCAGTGGACCAAATTCCATGGACTGCTTGTTCTCCTCCAGCTCATCCAAAGTCTCTGAATGACCCGGAACTTCAAGTCTGGCAGAATATCATTTCATAGCTTCCTAAGAATCCCTTCTACCCTCTGAGCATTGCGGCTGTCCTGTTGTACCCGCCCATGTCTGTGCCCCTTTCACTACCATCACCTTTCTTTCTTATGCTGAAAATTGGGGTTCAGTGACCTCATTTCCTTACTTTTCAAGCTTAAAGTCATTGGGAAAGAGTTCAAGTTTGGAGATCAACTCCTTGTGCCTTTTGTATGGACCAATACTTGGCCAAAGAAATATGAAAAATGTTTTAACAAGGATGGTTGGGTCCACATTTCCTTTATGATCCCTTTTTTGAAATCTCAGTAATCTGAAAATGTTGGAACTGTTCACATGGACTAAATGTGACATGTTTTTTGTAGACAACTGGCATAAAATATGAGGAAACAGTTCATATTTTGAGAGAACCTAGTTAATTATTCCTCACTAATACTGAAAGGAAAGTCACCAAAATTTTCAAGTGTTTGTTATGTCTAAGACTATTGTCAGTAATAATAGATCTAGTCTCAGCTCACAAAAATCTGTCCCTCCAGAGTGGGGTGTTTAGCTTACGCTGGAAGCAGTCCTGCACTCACATTTGACCTGAGGATCAGCAGAGCTCCTTTGTTATACTCAATACAGTTAAGGAAAACTGAGATGGAATGTTGGTGCGCTTGAGCCTGCCTTCTGAACCTAAATGGAGGGATTGTTCAAGGGGAAGAAGGATCTCAAGTTTCCACTGGAGGCCTCCTATATGTAACTCTGTGCATTATATATCACATGGAAGGCACAGCCCAGCTCTTTCATATTATTTTGTTTTCCAGGTACTTTAAACTAACCAGAATGGAACAAATTTAGAAGCAGTCTTTATAGATTTTTGCACTTGAGAGAGACCCTAGTAAGTTCATCACACATCTGTGAAATTCTCCTGGATCAGGCATATTATTAGCTACCTATGATACGGGAAGGGCCTTCCTCCCCATGGCTGTGAAAATAGTGCATTTCATGACCACATGCTGCACATGAATCATTTTTTAGGATAATCTCAAATCATCAGTAAATACAGAGAAGAAAAAATCAGGGCAAGTCCACAGCCATGACTTCTATCATAAATAGGCCCACAAATAACTACAAGAAGCAGCTATGGAGAACAGAAAAGATAGTGAAATTCATCCAAAGACTATGTAATTTTGTGTAAGTGGGTATAGATATTTTTAAACACCCCCTCCCCACCTTTTAAAAAAAATGTTGGCCAAGAAATGGAAGATGAGCTTTGGAATTCTTGAGCATAGCATCCTATTGCATGGCTGTCAGAAATGATTTGGGTATTTGTGAAGTGGATTTCAGAGCCAAATAGAATATTTCTCTGAAACTGTGGTGGAATGGTGCTCAGAGTGCCAAGGGAAGCAGCACGTATGACTGGTCACGGTGAGGCATAGTGTTGGGGATGTCTCGGATGGTCGATGACGTAGTGTAGTCTTTGTGTTCTAGCAGCCAGGGCTGTTTGGATCACATGTAATGTAAGAATATTTTCACAACACATGGTGAAATAGCTGAGAAATATGTATTCAAAACATGAAGATATGTTTTTTCTTTTTTTCTGATTTACAGTGATGTTACTTTTTTTAATCTTTAGTTTTTTATTGAGATATCATGGATATAAATCATCCTTTGAGTTTAAGGCGTATAACATGTTAATTTGATACTTTTTATATGTTGCAATGTGATTACCACTGTAGCATAGCTAACACTTCCCTCATGATACATAATTATCATTTCTTTTTTGTGGTGAGAACATTTAAGAACTAGTCTCTTAGCAATTTGAAGCTTACTGTAATCATGCTGTACATTAGATGCCCAGAACTTATTTGTCTTATAACTGAAGTTTGTACCTTTTGACCAACATCTCCCTATTTCTCAAAACTTTAGTCACTGGTAACCACCATTCTATTCTCTGTTTCCACAAGGTTGTCTTTTTTATATTATACATATAAGTGATATGCATTTTCTACTAGTGTGTATGCTTTCCCATCTATTCTAAGTTAGAGCCAGCAAGGACCTTCCAAGAATTGGACCGTTGGATAACAGCCTAAAATGAAATATGGAAACATATTGATAGCAAACCTATTGATAATGTGAACACCGTAAGTGGACAGTGACGCCAGATTTAGTTTGACCAATTTACTCAACTGTGCAAGTGCAAAATATCACTGTTTCTTTCTCTCATAACCCCAGAGGGCAATGTTAAGGCCTTTCTTCCTGGAATACAGTCTGCAAGGTCAGGGGGGCATCATTCCAATGTGTGAAGTGACAATGCATGTCAGAGAAAGGGAATGTAGTATTTTAAATACTAAGTCACAGAGTAAAAAATTCTGTCTATGGGTTCTATAGGAATAGGACTGAATTTTAGCTTGTTAAGAGTTTCAACTATATGCAGCTTAATGGTGATATGATAATTAGATCAAAAGAACTTTATACTCTTTCATTCAAAATAGCTTCAGGAATAGCTTTAGGCCAGTAAAGAATCGATTGTTTAGAGGCGGTCAATAAAAATGACCAACTTTCAAGAACTGGGTGGGGAAGGGAAACATCGATTCTGCCCTGAGCACCGTATGCTAATGGTTGGTCCCAGCTCTCACTTCAGCTGATTCATGGAAGAGAAAGTGGCTTGAGCGAACAAGGGTCCCAAAGCCAGGCTCTGCAGGACATCCCAGGAATCACCCGTTGTACCAAGTGCCAAGGGTGCTGACTTCTCGGCACCAGCCTGGCTTTCAGCTGTGTAAGCTGTGTGAGTTCCCCATGGAGCCAAACCAAATATGTAGGTCAAGTTCTTGATTATTCCAAGCATCTTGCTATTTGCAACATCTGAAAACAGCTGTGGAAACCTGAGGCGGGCTCCATGCTCTCCTTATATGTGACTGTCTTCTAGACTGGTGACTTTCTTTCCCTCGCAAGTAACTCTTTGTCAGTTTGCCAGATCTGCTCAGGACAGTTTCTCATTGTCATCTGCTCTATCTCTATAAAGTTTTGGGACCTAACTTTACTTTTCAGCTTGCATAAATTTAAAATATCCCCTCCACACCAATCGTCCATTACAGACTTTTGAAAAATATGAAGACTCAGTTTTTCTGTGTTAACCAAACCTCTGAAATCCCCTCCAAGTGTATTAGGCTGTACTAGTCCATGCGCAGTAGCTAATTTGTTTTAAAAATGGCTACAATCTTGACATAAAGGGCTTTTCAAAATCAGGGAGGGATGGATTTTAAGCATCATGTTAAGCTGATGGACTGCCATCCCAGAGCCAGCACCCTTTCTGGACATTCCATAATTAAGATTTATTTACTTATCTATGCAAAACAAAAACCTAAGTAGTAGAGATCAGTCTCAGATGGCCCCCCTCCAAGACAAATTACCATATTATTCCTTGTTTTCTATGTCTTGAGAAGCATTTGTAGGCAATAACTAACACACATGTGAACTCTTTTGTTCTCTGTTAAAAAGCTTTTCACAGATGCCAACCAGTTCAGCAAAAGACGAGACCAATGACAACATCACGATATTTACCAGGATCTTGGATGGGCTCTTGGATGGCTATGACAACAGACTGAGGCCTGGGCTTGGAGGTGAGTGGGTTCCCCTTGGCCCCGTCCCACCAGGCCCCCAAAAAGCTGAAGCTCAGCCTAAAGTTCATGTCTTCTGTGACTGAGACAACTCAAAAAGCTTCCCTGCCAGGAGTTTGAACTTATCATTGTTGCCAAGGCTCCTGAATCCTTTTTTATCATTTTCCAGATGCCACAAGCTGGGAGAAATGGTCTCCTTGCAAAATCCTTTTTCTCCAGATAATCCTAATGTCCATTCTGGTTCACTTAAGAGGGAACCAATTCTTAGGTGACTGAAGTTGAGATTGCCCTGTGTTAAGGAATTATTTATGATCTTACTTGCTTATCTATGGAAGCCCTTTTCAGAAATCCATTGCTCAGTGCAATTGTTCTTTACACCTTTATATATGTTTAATTTCTTTCACTAGGGTCATAATTATAGTACATTCTTTGATCCTATGGAAGTCGATAAAAATAAGTGAATAGCAAAGTGTGCTTTCAGGGCACAATTGGCACAGCTTAATTTTGTGCTGAGATTTGTGTGCCTTTCCAGCATCTGTGATGCCCTTGGCTGTAGCTGATTGTGGTGCACTTGAGCTTGCTCCATTAGGTAAGTTAGAGACCCTCCAGCAACTACCTTCTCCCAGGAAAAAGCTAACTTCTCCATTATTTCCATGTTTAACAGGGTAATCCCCTTAAAGGATGAATTGCCATTCTCAGCAAGAGAAGCCCAAATAGGCCCCTTGACACCCTGTTACTCCACCTCTGAGTTAACGTCCTTGGGCTTCTGTGTCCAGCAGCCCCCCGCCCCTTTGAGCAAACCCACGGGAATCAAAGCCTGTTGCGCTCCAATGAGCTGTGGTCACGTGGCATCCTCATGCACCCCTCACGTGTTAGTCCTGTGGGGCGGGGCTCGAGAATCCCACAGAGAGACACCTGCTCGGGCTCATCTCAGTGGGGACACAGGCACTGAGAAGCCAGTACCGTGCTCACGTGTGCTTCCACACAGCGAGGTGCAGGGGAGACAAGCCTTGGGAGCTCTGACTCGTGAGGACACCCTCCGGAGGTGTGGGGTTACTTCTGGTGGCGGTAGCACACTCCGCATACGGTCCTCACACGCGACTCCAGGGGCTACAGGGTCCTGGTAGTGCCCAGGGAGCACACACATTTCACTCCAATATTGACTACTTTTATCACTTTATGTATTTTCCATTCTTTCACTGAAATAGTTGTCTTCCATAGTAAAAATTTCTAACATTTCAAAATGCCATATGAGGCAAAGTGGGTCTTCCTTCTCAACCTGTCCCTGCCACAGGCCACACTGTGGACATTTTGTATACATCCTTTCCCCAGGGACTGCCCAGGACTAATGTTTTCACTGCAGATGCTCCAAGTCTCACCCCCTCATCTGAATTGTCCAGCCCCTTTAAAAGCCGCTCTTTATAGGAGAGCAGAACTGTGCATGTGAGGCTGGAAACATTGTTCCAGCTTCACCCAGGAGGACACTGAAGCTCAGGTGTGTGTGAACAGCACCCCAAGTCCCACAGCCAGGACTCGGCGGCCCCTCTGCCCATGAGTGTTCCTCACAGCGGGGGAAGGACAGTGAGAACCAAGCGCCTTTCTTCCCACCGTGAGCGCTTGTTTCGTGCTGCCGCTGGGAGCGCCCCGGTGCATCTGGTGCCTGTTCAGTCCTCCACATTTCACAAACACATTTTAAAAGCCCTCTGCCTGCCAGGAGTGAAACTGCTTTCTAGAGTAAAGACCCAGATAGGCTGCAGGGGCGGCCGTCAGTGAGCGCTGTGCCCACCCGGGACCCCTGTCTGTTGCAGAGCGCATCACCCAGGTGAGGACGGACATCTATGTCACCAGCTTCGGCCC